CTTGGGAAGGGGATGAGGATGGGTGGGTCTGGGACTGGGAGTGGGCGGTTGGAAAGATGATGATGACGTTGATTTCTTCTTGAATACCTGTTCCTTGATTGACTACAAAATGACTTGTTAAATTTGGAAAAATTACACTTTTATTTTGCAGCATCCACCAGGAGCAACGTAAATAAGCTGTAAAACCAAACCCAAACACCGCCATTGCCTTAACTCTTGGTCGAGAGTCAGAAATAGTAACAGGATCGAGCAAAATAGAGCTTACTAGTCAACGAATTTAGCATCGAAGGTGCAGCCATCATCACTCAGCATAATTAACTTATAAAAACCGAGGACCCGACACCCCGAACCAATGACCACACGCCTTGCACCCCAGCGCCAGTTCATCATCTCGACGCGCTCCGCCATCGCGAATGCCACCTCAGTACCGGAAGAGTCAGCGGAGGAGCAGCAGCTGACCGTCGAGGTGGAGAGCGCCACCACCAATCCCATCGCCGCCAGCTCCACCAATAGCACCACATCGCCACCGCATGCCGAGCAGTTTGAGTTCTGCACGGAGGATGGAGTTGTTGTCTCTGCAACTTTGGATGATGTCATGACACAAGTGAGTGCATCTCATGTTATTCGCCACTGAAAAACACCTTCATAATCATGAACTTGTCTTATAATATTAAAAATCCTTTCATAATCATTAATAAGCAGGTAGAGCTGAGAATTTCATTATAAAAAATTGTTGGGGTTTATTAATATATTGTTTATGTAGACTGGAATTTATGTTTGATTTGTAAGATATTTAGAAAATCAAGACTACCTTTTCGTTAGTAAATTAAAAAATTTCTAAACCACATGTTTTTAGAGAATGTATGTTCTGTTATGTTAGAAACTCGTTTAGTTTGTTTTAATTTTATCATGAAACTCTATTTACATGAATACCTTACCTTATCATGCTTCCTTGATAAACAGGTAAAACTTCTCCCCCTTTTGCAGAACTGCCAGCTCTTGCAGAAGAAACTAGTCGACGACGACGACGACGCCACGGGAGCGGGAACAACCAGTGCCGAGCAGCTGGAGGTGATCCGCGTCGTTCTGCCCATGGATGCCGACGACTCGAGCAGCGAGGCCCACCTCCATGGGCACTTGGTGAACAGCAGCAGCGAAACCATCGGCACCATAACCACCACGGAGCCCAACGGCACCACCGTGACCCACTCGATACCCATCCACAGCATGGCCGACCTGGCTGCCATCAAGGATGGCGTGGATCTGGCGCAGCAGGTGGCCAGTGGCCAGGTGACCGTGGTGCAGGCCACCGAGGATGACGATGGAACTCCCTTCATTACCGTGACGGGTGAGTAATAACAACAAGAGCAAGGTAGCAGCTTTTAAAAACTTTTCTTCCTAGAACTCAATTATTTTGAGCTTAAAAAGTTATTTTCAAATATTAAACTTAAGGATTAAATATTTCATATTATTTGCCACTCTAAATAAACGGTAAACACCCTATGAAAGAAATGAAAAATTTAAATAAATAACTTCAAAAATTATGTATTTAAACAGTGACAAATTTTGTAAATGTCCAGTTATTATCTAGTATACTTGAAAATAATAGGCATATATATGTATATATTCTCTGGCAAAAAGAAAAGTATTAAAACACATTCTACGCTGACAACCTATATAACTATACCAAACTGGGCCAAAGTACTAACATTTCTAAAAGATACAAGATAATTAAAAGTATATCCGATGCGATGCGATCTTCTTAAATCATCAGATTGATACATCTGCTTACTGCACAAATTCCATCATTGAAAAAACAAACAGCATGTGCGAAAACTGAGGGATTAAAATCAATCGCGATGCCACTTTGTTAATCAGCGCAAAACTGGAACGCCGCAAAAAACCTACCATTCGCATTGCCGATTTATTTCAGTCGCGGACGGAAAAACACACTTTCGAAAAGTCCTGAGCCGAAAAGAGACTTCTGAATTCATTGGGCGGAAATCAAAGCGGAAACCTGCAAACGGGAAACAACAAACAGCAAAAGTCGCGGCTTTGTAAACAAACATAATGACAGGATCAACATGTCCCTGGGGGAGGGAGTGAGCTGGAAACAAGGACCAGCTTAAAATCCGGCGTATTTTAAACGTTTGCCTGATATCACAATTAAAGCGACTTAATTTGAAAACGAAACGAGCGGTGGTACAAGGATGAATGGATGGCCCTATGGTTGGGTGGTTAGGCAGATGGATGGATGGCAGGATGGCTGGATGGATAGCACACACCCCGCGGAGGATAGAGATACTACCTGTCCCCGGACACACGACACGGATCCGTCCGAGCCACGTGCAAAACAAAAAGCAACAAAGAGGCAAAGTGCAGCTGGGATTGAGTCGAAAGACGAGAGACGACACACTGGGAGTGATAGCCCCGGCGCACACATAATTATTATATTCCACTCGAGCGCCGCACAATGAATTAATCGAGATTACACTTCGCCGCGGAACTATCTATGTTTCTAACAAAATCGGACACCGAAAAGGGTCGGACGCATGTTTGCCATCGTACTTGATTTTATTAGCACAAATTACCACCACCAGGACACGCATGAGGGCAAACATCCGAATGGCAACATCGGGTAATCACAACAAATTGAGAGGGCTTCACACGGTGCGTGATCCGGAGGGGGTGCACAATGGGGTGGGGGTGGTGCTTAGTGCTTGGTGCTTGGTGCTCACGCGGATGAGTCGACGACTCGCTAATAACCGCCCGCTGTCAACTAATACCTTCGTCCTCGATCAAGGACTCACAATCTCTATCACTGCAAAAAAACATTTTAATTTTGGTACAAATTTGTCTTATTATTAAATTTTTTTGTATGGTATCACTTAAAACTTTCGAAAGAAAATATTTATTTAATATTTTTTTAATCATTTTTATTCATATTTGCTTTTAAAGTTTTAATATAAATTTATTCTCCTTAAATAAAAAAAGCTTTAAAACCTTTATTTTACGTTAATGTTCTATTTTCCATAAGAACTGAAAAGATAGACAAAAATTTAATTATTAAAATACTGTGATTTGCAAGAAAATCGTTTTTTTATAAGAATTCAGTTTTGTTTATTAAATGGAGTAAAAGTTTTCATCTATTATATAACTTGAATTGTTAAACAACTTCCCCTTTTTCTTGGCAGATAGTAAAAAGTAAAATGTATGTAAAAAAAAAGAATAATATAACTACTTAAACATTGCATATTAAAACATTTGGTTATATCAATTTTTAAAAAAAATAAATAAGTAAATAATTTTCTCCTAGTGCAGTGATTCTCAATCAGAATTGTATGCATTGAAGAAGGGTATTTGAGCTTCGACCCGGCAGTGGGTGCTTATCAGGGGGTTTGAGGAAGATGCCCACCTCATTTTCCACCTTTCTCGAATATGTTGTATTGTATTTTTGAATTGATACGGATTTGCTGGGTGCTCATCAAATCAACGAGGCAGAAGACGACGAGCTTAACATTTAATAACGCCAGTCACTAAAAATAGGAAAATACAAGGCGGGAATCCATACCAGTTGAAGTGGTTGGTCCGTGATTGGATGGCTAGGTGGACTGTTGTGGGTGGTTGTGGGTTGCCAAGCTCCTGAGTTTTGAATTAGTTAGGGAACACTGCCATATGACGGGCTTCTTTTAATTGTGCCAACAAAAAGTTATTTGTACGCGCTGGCAATCTAGATAAGCGAGAATTTATTTATGAAAGCGAGTCGCAGTTCATAATTCTCGCAGAATGCTATCTGGCTGTGGAAATCTCAGCAAGTGAAGCTCTTCAAAGGACTCACCTCTGACCCAACAGTGCCAATCCCTATGTGGCTCATCCCCTGCCTGTGGGCGGCTAATAAAAAGGTTAATTGTTTGTTGACGTTCTATTAGATGCAGGATAAGCCGGCTGCAATCCCCTCTCCACTTTGTCCTGCACTTGTCTGTTATCGTTATCCTGGCAATTTGTGCTCAACGTGCTCGCTGTTGTCCACATGGAGTGGAGCTGGGAACTTGGACAAGTGGCTTTTAAAAGTGGATATTGCACCGAACCTTTTAATCTCAAGTTTTTAGAAGAGTCTGCTCTATCGTGATTGTCAACCTTTTCATTGTAGGTTTAAGATTGATCCGAATTTTGACTCGATTAAATTGTCTATTGACTTTGTCAAAATATTCTACCCATTGTCTAGATTCTCTTTTTATCTAGATCTATAGTTATTCTGTGAAAAGACTATTAAACGTTTAGATTTCTTTCCAATGGAAATATTTGTAGAATTGTATTACTCAAATACTCGTTAAGTTTTTTTTATTATGATTTTATGTGTAGCTTTATTCTTATACTTTAGAGAAGAACAACAAAATTAGAATTGTTTAATATTATATTATACATTATTATAACTATTATACCCTGAGAGACACTAAAGATCGTTAAGGGCAAATTTTGTTCATGTTTTTCCTATTTCCTATTTTCGATTCTCAAGTAGCCAGTTAAGCTTCTTCATCACACTTGATGTTAAAGGTTTAGTCGCAGTCCATTCCAAAGGCAATTACCGAAGGAAAACTGCTTTCGCCCTGAAACCGAAGTCATTGAGAGCCAAAATGTTTTGGCGAGAATGCGGTCCACTCGACAGAACCGCAAAAGATCCCGTCCATGACAGTGGAATCGTCCTAAGCCTTGTCAACTTAAAAGGACAATTGGCAGTTCAAGCTCCACTCCTCACAGCATCCATTTTGTCCGCAAATTGCGAAAATTGCACCAAAGGGGCGCCTGTTAATATTTACAGTTTGCAGCAGCGTGTCAAAGGGAAAGTACTGGGGTCAGGGGTTAACAGCCCGCAGGACTGACCGCAGCAACTTCAGGGTCCACACACAAGGACCTCCTCGGCAAAGGAAGCAAAATTAATATCTGAAATATGTCATGCAAGGCGGTGACCAGGAGGGGGCAGCCAAAAAAACAAGAGAAATACTGCTCTGACCACGGGGAGAATATGGAAAAATTCCACGCGTGGTATGCCATTTAACTGCTCCACCCGAACCAGTCGAAAACCATCCGTACATCATCGTCCCGAAAAGCCTCCCACACCAATTTTACCTCGAGTTCGGCCATTGAAACTCCCACATCTCCATCCCAATGACGATGGAAGGGCAGCAAGCGATTTGGTTGGCCAGGATACATCCTTCAGCATCCTGATCCAGGGGTTGCAGAGCGAGCGAGCGAGCGAGAGAGGTCGATGGCGGAAAAGAGACGGAGAGGCTGCCTGGCAACCGGTGCGGAGTGGGATTGGCCAGGCGGCGTTGCCTTGACGCCGTCGTCCTGTTGCCATCCCGCTCGCGTATCCAGCATCCCAGGACTCACCAGGCTACCCCCTGGTACTCTCACCCACCACTGCTCGACCACCACTTGTGCAGATCCCTGAAAATGCGACTTTGAGCCCGGAATTAGCCAGCGCACCGCTTGAAAGCAGGAGTAGAAGGTCGTTGAGTGGGAGTGGGATGAAAAAACCTGCTCGAGGGTCTGGGTTGGATTACCCGCTTCGGGCACACGGATCATAATAGCAACCACCACCCACCCAACAACCACCCAACCACCCAACCGCCCAACCGCCGAGGCAGCAGCCGCCGTTGTTGTAATTTAATTCGTTGCTGCGCCGCCGTCGTCGTGAGCTCGCCATCATCATTATTTTCGGAGGCATATTGCTAGGATAACATTTGATTTTGGATTCAGTTGTAATTCTACCGTTCGCAGGCACTGGTTGCTCCGTTTCCACGCCATCCGCCGTCCAGCATCCGGCCTTCGATTCCGGCCTTCGATTCCGGCCATCGCAACCCAAACCCAAGCTCAAGCTCAAACCCATAACCAACAAGCAAACAACACACAAATACAAATACCACCCACTGTGAAAGGAGAAATCTGAATTGAGCGTTGCTTGGTCAAGGATTTCACTTTCGCTTTCTGTGTTGGCCAGTTGCCAGAAGCAACCGGGTTTCTTCTCTGCTTACAACACCAGTGAATTCATAAGCGTGACTTTGTGTACTTACAATAAATGTCATCGTTGGATTCCTACATGTGGACAGACAACATTAGAACCTACTTCTGAAACTGCGTTTTAAAAATGATTGAAACCAAAGCCTTGGATTATATTACCTTGATGATCTAATGATTGGCTTTTTACCTCTGGTTTTTTTTAAAAATTAAGATTGGTTGCCCATCTTTGGACTTTCAACAAATTCAATTGGCATAATTAAAAACCTTTTTTGCATTGGAACCTATGAGATCATAATTGGAACTTAGATATTGGATTGTCAACTTTAAGTGACTAATCCTGGATTCTTAAACGAACATCTTGATTACGAGATCTATAAATATTAACTGGTATTTAAAGAAATCGTAATTGGATCTTTGGAAACTGGTTTGCAGTACCAATCTGTAGTATGTGTTGGCATGCGAAATCAAGTGCTACCCTCTTAAAGAATCTCCATCTGGATGTGGTGGAACATATAATATTCGGAATAGTCTGAAAAGCGCTGAGGCCACCTCCCAGCGTAGGTTCCACCCATCTCAGCAGCCTACGCTCCACTTCCGGCCAAACGAATGCATTCGCGGTACGGCTTTGACTGCCAAACGCGCCATCACCACCAAACGCAGCAGCTCCAGCAGCACCACCAACATCATCTTCTCCCCTTGGAATCGCCGCCAACGCCGTCAGTGATCAGCCCCACCTCCGCTGCGGCTGTGGCCTACTCGAATCTCCTGGAGAAGTGCCGCTGCAAGCAGTCCGTGGCCGCCAGGCCCGCACCCGCTCCGCCGCCCGCCCAACTTCAGCTGCAGCTGCACCACCATCACCACCACCACCACCATCAGACATTCGTGGCCAGCGCCAGTGCAACTAGCTACACCAACTGTTCCGGGATTGGATTGGGATCGAGATCGGGATCGGTTTCGGGATCGGGAAGTGGAACAGGTAGTGGGACCACTGCATCCTCCGCATCGGCCAACTCCACTTGTGTCGCGGGAAGCAACATTTCGGGTGGATCGGCCAGCAGCACCACCATGTACCACCACCACCATAGACGTCACAACAACTTGTCCTATTGCGGCGGTAAATATCCTACTGTCTGTCTGCCTCTGCTCCTTCAATCAAATCGATTTCTGTTCAAACTTTGAACTTTGAATACTGCATCTGAAGCACCTGTTCGTCAGGATATATGTTCGTGTTTCAGTTTGTTTGTTTGTGGCCAAAAAAGGGCCAAGTCTCCTTAGCCAAAGTGCCAACTGAATGAAGTGAATAGACAAACATAAGACTCGAGACTTTTGATTAAATCAAGAGTATTTACAGAGACATATTTCACTTTGTGTTTTAAGCATGTGGTTTCATGTTAAGTAAACTCAAGCCAATGAATGGAAGTTTTTCTGGTCAACACTTATCTAGGCTTTGTCAACCATTCAAGATTTAATTATACTTGAAATGTTCAATTTTAGTTAGCTAATAATTTAAGAAAAACCAACCCAGGTCTCTTAAAACTTTTATTTTCTACTGGAAATCGTATTTCTGTGCAGTTTCTCTCGTAATTATCACATTAAACTGTCACCAAATATCAAGTTTGAAAAAAATATTAAAAAAGGGATATTATTTCATGTTCATATAAACACTTTCACATTCTTAATAAGTTATACAACTGGTAAAATTGTATACTTAACGCTGCATAGGTAAATAAATTTTGCTATAAAACATTACGCGCGGAAAGTAAAAACTTATAGATATTTTAAGTAACCGACGGCTTACCGCACCATTTATCCAGTTGATGAAATTTACCTTTTAATTTATTGTAAACCGTTTTACTAGCAATAACAAATGAAATACGTTATTTCGAAAATGATTATGTGTACCTTGAAATGACAATTTCCAATTATTTCCATGAGTGTTCATGATTACCAAACAAACTTTTCCAAATGAAGCTCAACATAATTGTATTTTTTTTTTAGTTTCCGGGCAGGAGCAGAACTATCAAGTGCAATATGTGGACTCGGAGCTGTACCACAGCAACTCCAGCCAGACGCAAATGTGAGTGGGCAATGGAAGCGGATAAATAGAGTTCGACCTTACCCCTTTGCCTTGCCAATTTCAGGACGTATCCGTTCTGCCCGGTGGGGGACTACCAGGGCAACGGCCAGACGGCCTACTACTCGACCAGTACGGGTCAGTACGGAGCCACCTCATCGGCCGGGGGCTCCTCCAATGGGGCCCACTCCACCACGCTGCCGTACCTGGTGCCCGTGGAGGAGGGCATCCTCCTCAACGGCTCCGCACACTCGCTGTCGCAGTCGCATTCGCAATCTCAGTCGCAGTCGCAATCGCAAGCGCACGGACGCGATTCGCCGCACAGCCTGACGGTGAGTAGCAGGGATTGGGAGCGGGATGCGGACCGGGTGAACGGAACTAATCGCCACTGGGTGCAGGAGGTCGCGTACATCCAGGAGGCGCAGAGCACGCCCCAGACGCCCACCTCGACGACCACGACGCACTCGGCCAGCGGCGGCAGCCTGGGCACGGGCGGCGGAGGCGCCTCCCCGGACTCCGACCAGAGTACGCTCGGCAACAGCAACAAGATTGCCTCGGCAACGGTGAGTGAATCCATGGCTACGCCCTCCGCACAGCATCCCCTAATCTATGCACATCTTTCTCTCTCTCTCTCTCTTTCTCTCTCTCTCTCTCTGTCCCTGTCTCTCACTTGCTCATTCAGATCAAGTGGCTGTCGCGTAACTACGAGACGGCGGACGGGGTGAGCCTGCCCAGGAGCACGCTGTACAACCATTACATGCAGCACTGCAGCGAGCACAAGCTGGAGCCCGTGAATGCGGCCAGCTTCGGCAAGTTGATACGCTCCGTGTTCTCCGGACTGCGCACACGTCGCCTGGGCACCCGCGGCAACTCCAAGTACCACTACTATGGCATCCGCATCAAGCCCGGCTCGCTGCTGAACAGCCAGGCGATGGACGACAAGCAGATGCTGGCCGGCGGCTATGGGGCATCCCAGGACGGCACTGGCGTCGGCGGACCTGGCTCTGGAGTCCTGGTCAGCGTGACCAGCAGCACCGCCGGACAGTTGGGCGGCTCAAACGGACACGGACACGGCGGCGGCGGACAGGGACAGCGGCACAGCGGCGGCACCAAGAAGCACACCTTCAAGCCGGAGACCTACGAGGCGTGCATTCAGGTAAGGATCAAAACTGTGTTCATTGTTCTAGCTAGGAAGATTTTTTATAGATTATAGTCTTTAATTATTGAGCGCTTGAAATTTAAAATGGGTATCTAAAGTTGTAAATATGTTTCTTAAATATATAATGGCCTTGGTTTTTAAATAATTCCCTTGTAAGCAAGAAAGGAAGCAAAAAGTTCTATACAGGTAACTTTAAATATAACAGACTAGTTTGCATAGAATCGGACAGACAGAAGGACATGCCTATATAGACTTACCTAGTTGATTAAGAATATAAATACTAAATAGGGTTATTTTTATCTCCTTCACTGTGTTGTTAATATATGCAAAAACATAAAAGGCAGGGTTTTACAGATGACATTAGGGTAAACTGGATTTAAAACGTTAAAACTATGTCACTTTAAGCTGGTTTATGCCAAGGACACTCTAAATCAAATAAAAAGTTACATTTTTAAACAATATTATTAAAAACAAAGTGTTGAAAACTTTGTTAACCCCTTACATTAATGATTAGCTAAGTACGTTTTGTTTAGATCCTTAAAACCTTCAAAATAAAGTTTTGAATAGAGGTTTGAAAGCTAAGCCATCTATTGATTGATTCCATTCGTCCCCAGTTCATTGGAGATGGCAGCAGTGCCCTTCCCTCATTTCCGGCCATCGAGCTGAACCACAGTTTCAACAGCGAGCTGACTTTGGAGGACGTGGACACATTCCGGGCCCTGTACCGCGAGCACTGCGAGTCCTTCCTGGACGCCGTGCTCAACCTGGAGTTCAACACTGTGGAGTTCCTGCTGCGTGACTTCTGGCGGGCCAGCGACAACAACAACCTGGACGAGTGCGAGGAGGAGAAGTACTTGAGCAAGACGAAGCTGTATCTACTGTGCCACTGCGCAGAAGTGCAGAAGTTCGTGCGAGAGGTGGGTGGAGCGGTTGGGTAGCCAATGATAGCCCATGGAGTCGGCCATTCAGAGCCTTCCCTTGGGTTGTTCCGGGCTTAAGAAACTTCTATCGGTTTCGTACTAGAAATGATTGCAAATATTACAAATTTAACTACATTTGCAACATATTCCCTAAACAGGTGGACTATCAATTCTACCAGAACACCGTCGATGTCATTATACCGGACGTGCTGCGCTCCATACCGAACGCCCTGACCCAGGCCATCCGTAACTTCGCCAAGAACCTGGAGATCTGGCTGTGCGAGAGCATGCTGGGCGTGCCGGAGCAGCTGGCCCAGATCAAGACTAGTGCCGTGTCGGCCTTTTGCCAAACGTTGCGGCGCTACACCTCGCTGAATCACCTGGCTCAGGCCGCTCGAGCAGTGCTCCAGAATGGCGCCCAGATCTCCCAGATGCTCAGCGATCTAAATCGTGTGGATTTCCACAATGTTCAGGTGAGTTCAATTTATCGAGATCAAAACAATCTTAGTTGTTTTATCTTCATATTTCTTGATTTACTGCACCAAAAGGAAAAATTGTTATAGAAATTAAAATGTTGTCACATTAATCTAAAACAATTAGTTATTAAATCAACAAGATGAGTATTTAATTAATACTACGAAGTATTAAAATAATACTTCTCTGGCTTGAAAAAAGGTCTTAAGACTACAGGTTTAGACTCTTCGGTATAGAAATGAGAGAAAAATGTATGAGGGTTATATTATTTAGTATTCAATCAATACTTATACTTTAATACTGTCTGTAGTTTTTTTTAACACAATTTTGGGTGTAATTACTTACTAATACAGCACATAAACGAATATTAATAGACGACTGTAATGTTAAAGGTAGTGATGAGTGATGGTTGAGCGATTCTTGTGTGACAAAGATAGACCTCCTATAATTAGATATTTATTTATAACCTAAACTCGATAAAACCGACTAAAAACTCCACTCATTCTGCAGGAGCAAGCCGCCTGGGTGAGTCAGTGTGCCCCCGCCGTGGTTCAGCGTTTGGAGAACGACTTCAAGGCCGCCCTGCAGCAGCAGAGCTCCCTGGAGCAGTGGGCCAGCTGGCTGCAACTGGTGGTGGAGTCGGCCATGGAGGAGTACAACGGGAAGCCGACGTACGCCAGAGCCGCCCGCCAGTTCCTGCTCAAGTGGAGCTTCTACAGCTCCATGATCATCCGGGACCTGACGCTGCGCTCCGCCTCCAGTTTCGGCAGCTTCCACCTGATTCGCCTGCTCTTCGATGAGTACATGTTCTACCTGGTGGAGCACAAGATTGCCGAGGCACAAGACAAAACTGCCATAGCAGTTATCTGTGAACGGATGGTAGGTGTTGCTAAATTTGCTGCTAAATGCAGTTCTCTAACATCTAACATTCGATTTGATTCCAGAAAAAGGACATGGACTTCGAGTTCGAGTGCCAGTTCGCCTACATCACCAGCGACACGGAGCAGCAGTCGACACCCAGTTCGGCCAGCAGAGGCGGCGACGTGGGCATCGTTGGCAACATCGGCAACGAGGCCAAGCGACTGAAGCAGGAATGAGGCCCCAAGATGTGCATGTGGCTCCAGTGACTGGCATTGAGCGGAGTATTTGTAGTGTTTATGTAAACAGTAATCGGTGTCCCCATCAGTGTGCATCCCAGCCCCTGTCGTCACCAGTCGTTCAGCTCTGCATTTAGTAGTCGAACCGTGTTGTATATCCGTAACCTTACCGTATCCGTGTGCTAGTTTTTAGTCCTAGGTTCCCACACAACCAGCATAGTCAGTCAAAATTTTAGTGGTTAGTTTTAGGCAGGCTCCGAACTCGCGTACAGTAAAAGCACTCTTGGACAGACACGGAACTGAAGAGGTTTATAATTTAAGTAACATCAACTGCTTAAATTTGTTATTTATTGAATTAAAAAAAATGTTCCCCTTAAGGGAAATGTTTACGATTTGTTGAATCGATTGTTCGGTTTGAAAAAAAAAACAATTTATTGTAACATTAAGCACAATTTCCGGTCACAAAAAATTGTAATAATTTTGTAACACCCCTGAACTATGAGTGAAGAATAGAAAAAACCAATTATTTGTGTCCGAAGGAGTAGCTGACCGTCCAAGGGAGCTTTTTACTGGAAAATTTCGAGTATCGGACTGCCCCCGCATTGAAGTGAAGAGCCGTCCAGAAAGCAAGCAAGTTGAAAGCCAGGTCGGCAAAAGCGCCTGGCCTTGCTTGCCCTGATCTGTATTCGAAGGATACGTTTTAGTTTAAGTACATGTGCATTAATAATTGTAATCAACTGTCTACGATAACGATGGGTTCGGAGGTGGCATCAGTTTTGTCTGGTTTCAACAAACGATCTTGTATATCATAGCGTACGGCGCACGGCGCACCCCACACACATAGTCCTAGCACCCACACACGCACTCAGAGGAATTAGTCAGGGGTCTTGTAGGTTATAGCGAAGGAACACAGCCCATAGCGAACAGCTTGCTCAAATTCAAAAGGAACACCCAGCTCAAAACTCAACCGTAGGCTAAGAAAACAACAGGCCTTAAATGTGCAAAGAAAGATCAACACTCAATTTTGAAACAATACAATTTACCATACCTATACATAAACTATATATATAAAGATACATAATTGTATATGTATATTTTAACTACAAGGAATCATTTTATTATGAAACATGTATTTTAACAGAGGCGCTTATCAGAGTATTTTATGCCATTTTGGGCCAGAGTACAAGCAGCAAGCGAGGCAGATTTTTTAAGTCAACTATCTAGCATTAGCCAACTGAAGGGGGTGCGATGTGCAGACCACCATCTGCATCGACCCCCAACTGTCTAGTCCTAAAGCACACATCTGAACCATATGCTCTGTACGGCACAAGAAATCGACGATAATAACTAGAACTCCTTTCCAGGGAGCTGGTTCTGCTCAAATGCAAAATGCTTATTTAGCATCTAAGTTCTATTGGTTGTTGAAAAGTAAAAGTAAATCGAAAACTGAAATTTTAAAATGTCAAAACTATTTATGTATGTGAAATAAAAACTGTCAACGAAATAACAAAACAGTCTATTTCTTGCTTAAAAAAGTTTAATAGGGAAGGCTTTAGTTCTGCTGAAGCGGAAACTATATTAAAATCTGGGACTTTTTTCATATATATTTTTTTAAATTTATTTGTAATAATCAATTTTAAATGAAATGTATTGCAGCAAAAGAATCATTTGTCAATCTATTGAGTGTCATCGGCACTAAAAGTATTCAAAACTTTTAGAATTTGACAATCCCAGACTTTTAAACCATTTTATTACATACAATATCAGGATGTGTAATGCTGATTAAGAAGCCCGAAAATTAATATTTTTAGTATGGTTTTATTTATTTCTTTTTTTGGTTTCAATTATGTTTTGTCAATTGATTTTCTAACAACTCTATACAAAAATTGTCCTTTCTTAGCTTATTCATTTACATAGGTTGTTACTTAGGGGTAAAATATTATTTTGTAATGCTAGAATGCTAGTTAGGTGGTAATATTACAACAAGAATTGTATGAATGTTGTTGGTTCGTTCAATGGAATTGTTGAATGCGAAAACGGAGTCGGAACATCAGATGGATGAATTTGTATCCATGAGCCATCCATGAGCTGGCTTTGTAAATGCATTGTTTTACTTGCCCGTAACTTAGTTAGCTCTTTGTACTATTTTACTTCTGAGGCTTTGTCGGGAACGCTTCTTGCAAGTCTTATTGGTTTTCGGATCTGGTTTCTTTTGGAATTCGGGTTTGGCTTACAAATTTACATACATCTTACTTACAGCTAAGCACATAGTATACAAGTTTTTCTCTGCGTGTAAACTATTTACATTCCGAATCGGCTTAAAATAATTAGTCGTATTATTAATTGACTGAACTTTCCGACAATAATTGTGGGTTTGCTGAGTTTTTATATATATAATACAATACATACAAAAGTTCTATATAAATCCGCATTTTACCTCGCATACGAATACTGGACCGGCAAGTTGTTTGTATGTGTGACCTTTCAACTTTCTTATATTTAAGCTGAAAATGATTGTAATACTCAACAAAAGGTGGAAACATAAACCTACTGTTCACATTTCGTTGTCAAATAATCGATGTGTTGCACATTATTTTTGTTATGTTCTCATAAATGCATTGTCAAGTTCTTATTAACTGAAGAATAAAATTTCATTTGTCAGTAGGAGATCAAATCAAAAGTTACAGCTCTATCGCCCGAGGGCTCAAGTCTGAGAAATAATTAACATGTTTCATGCGTCGTCATTAGAACCTATTGAGTTTTCTGCTCAAGCGTCAGGCGAAACTCACTCGAAGTTTGTCAAGTGTATCAAAATTTCGGGGTTCGTGTAACAAAATTAATAAAGATTTATTCGAGAAGCGACTAAAGAAAGGATTCAAATTAACTGGATGCAGAGGGGACAAGCTCTCCGCTATTTTTCCGTTGGCTCAGGCTCAAATCGAGATTTAAAATCAAACGGCAGCCAAACTGAACTACAAATAAAGGGGGATTGAATAACATTTTGGGTTCTGCACACGAAACCGAAAACTTAAAACTGATATTCGATATTCGATATTGGGTGATGGGGGCTTAGGGATTATGTGTAAGCGTAGCATGGGTTCCTTAAATACGAGAGACCTAAGACTAACTGATTAATGTAATGGGTGGGGGGCTGTGCCCCGCTCTAGATGATGCGGTTGACCAGTGGCATCTTGCGCCGGTTGTAGGTGGGCGGATGCTGCTGCGGCTGGGTGACCTGCTGGACCTTAACCTTCTGGCCATACTGCTGTTCCAGTTCGCCAGCCGGGCCAATCGCATAGTTGATGTCCACGCGAGCCCGCTTCAATGGCGGCTGCTGCTGATGGTGGTATCCATCGTTGGCATTCAGATCGGCAGGATTCAGCTCAATGATGTGCTGCGCCTGGCCGTTGGCAATGGCCCGACGCACTGCCTCCTTGTCGTCCTCAATGTCGATGGCGTCGTAGAGTTCGTCGACCTGGAGAATGAAGGGAATACCAGTTTAGACACACTATTTATAGGCGGCAATCATATTCCAAACTCACCTCAATATCAAAGTCGCTTCTCTTCTGGGCAAGCAGTGCATGGTTAATGGGCAGGTTATTCGACTGGTTTCCGCTAGCATGGGAACGACGCTCCTCTTCGGCCTCAAACTCCCTCAGCATGTCCTCATCACCATCCTCCTCCTCCTCGGCTTCCTCGTCCTCCTCCACCAGCATGGCATCCACCAGGGTGTCCTCGAATTCATGCTCCTCCAGGTCGGAGGACTCCTCGATCTCCGACTGCGAGTCCAGCTCCACATCCGAATCCGCTGATCCGTGCTTCATCTCTCCCCTTTCCAGGGACTCCAGGTGCTGGGGATAGACCATGGCGCCACGTATGGCGGCCGGGTCCTTGCGCGACCACTTCTGCACCTCCTCGTCCATCTTGTTGATCCGCTCGGGATTCATGGCCCAGCGGCAGCCCTTCCTCTGGTTACCATTCGTGGCCGGCCTTTCGATCTTCTCGAAGCACTTGTTGAGCGAGAGATTGTGGCGCACACTGTTCTTCCAGCCACTGGGGGCATTCTCAAAGTACGGGAAATGCTGACAGAGGAAACTATAAATTTCCGAGACGGGCAGTGATCCAGCACGCGAATTCTTGAGGGCCAAAGCGATGAGGCAGGAGTAGGAGTAGGCGGGCTTGGGAAACGGACTGCCCACCGGCGGCAGTTTGACCTTTTGCTGCAGGGGCTTTACCAGACCAACACCAGCTCCATTGGTGCTATTGTTCGCTATGTTGACCAGGTTGCTCACGTTTCCCAGGGGAGAGGAGGCCGATGAAGAGGACATGGATGAGGGCGATCCCAGGCTGTAGTTGCTATGCATTTGATGGTGCGGCGAGTTGGCCGCCGAGGCGATGCTCTTTGGTGTGGTGCTGGCCTGCAGTCCTCGCTTGTTCGAGTCATCCCGCTTGAGGCCCATATTGGATCCCGCTCCTGGCGAGATTCCACCTGGTGACTTGACGGCCGAGGTTTGCTTCAGTTTCTGGTAGGCAGCACTGTTGGCAAAGGTCAGACCGCCGATCCCGGGTGCCAGTTTAATAGTATTGGTGGCTCCAACACCCGCGGTGAGCAGTGTGGTTCCCTTTCCCTTTCCCAGCTCCTCGACGGAATTGTGCACTGGACTGGATTGTGCTTTACGCAGCTCTGTGGCCAAATCCTTGCGCACTGCATCGACTGCCGAGGAGTTACGGCGCTGCAGCACCGAACTTGTGGCCATTGTGGCAGGTGCTGTGGTTCCGGTTCCCGTGACCACGGATATCTGTTTGGGAATGTGGGCCATCACCTGCTCCCGCCGCATGGAGCCCGCACTGACCTTCATCTGGGCCGGCGAGAAGGTCAGGTGGGACTTGTGCTGATCCCTTTCGGCGTTGGGAGACGAGGGCACAGCGCCCGATCTTCCCTGAGTGCATGTCACTGTCTTGCTCCGCTTCGGCGAGGCCAATCCGCATCCGGAAGACGAGGTTATCAGTGGCATCACGGAAATGGGGTTCACACAGGCCCCCAAGTCCGCATAGTAGTCTGTGTTGGACCAAAAACTGGCCGACGAACCCATCCATTTGGCAGTGGGCGAGGCGTGGAGTGCGCTGCTGCTTGTGAGGAAGTTCGCATTGGCATTGTACGAAACTGGCAGGCTGCTGTTTCCGCTGGCCTGGTTGTTGTTCATGGCGGACATTGCTTCCAGGGTTTGGTCCAGGGACAGGGTGAGGTCGCTGCTGGAGCTGCCCACCACATTGGCGATCTCCGCGCGAATGTCTACGTTCAGCATCTCCTGCATTGAGTCCGAAACGTAAAAGTCCAACGATGGTCCAGCCGCATCCTGCAAAACGAAATTGATGTACATTTTACTTATTTTTAGTCAAACAAAAAGCATTAATGCAAAAGACAATCCTTTTTTGTGGTGTAGAACTGTTCGATTAAGGCTAGCAACACAGAACATAGGATATTTCCAAATTAATTGCTTGTTTGGAAAGAAATTGCAAAGGCGGTGAAAAAATAAATTGGGGTATCCTATAGTATCTATATATCGCTACTTACAAATTTGGTATTGCAGTTTTTTTTTCAAAGAAGTCGTTACTAGCGTAGCTAATTTATTTGTAAATTGTAAAGTGATATCAAAACCTGTTAGAAAACCCTGAATAAAACATTGCCTTTTAAAATTTAATTTTAACCATACATACAATGTATTTATTTACATATAATCCATTCTGCTACGCCTAGCACAAATCGAAACATCAACAAATCCAGAAAACTTCTACTGAAAATTTTCCCGCGCTTTTATTTTCGTAGAAACCACCATAGGGATAAAATTCCTTTGCATAACAAACATGGATACATTGACATACATATGTACATATTTCATAGTGATTAAATCTGTAACACAAGACTCTCGAATCTGGGTCCGAATCTGATATCCCCGTGCAGATATACATACGTGTGGATATGTATGCGTTTTGGGGATCGTATAAGTTTTCATTTTCTATATGAGGCACCATTATCAACAACAACAACAACAGTAACATGAACGAAAACAACAATAATAAACGAGGGACCACAGGAGCTAAACCGACTTCAAAACCAGTTTTTACGCGCCAAGGCAGGCAGGCTGAAAAAAAAAATGGAACAGGCGACAGGATAGGGAAATGGTGGGGGTTTTGGATATTTTCAGAGTTCCATATAGCACGCACAACAACAAAACAACGAAAATTACTTATGTTGCAACACCAGAACCAGTACAACAACAACAAAACCATCAGCAAAGCCGGCAACATGTAAAAATTTTGTTCGAGAGTTTTACAGTCTGTGCTGCATACATATACATATGTATGTATATGAGTGTACAAAAACAACTGTGGTCACAACAATAACAGCAGTCTGAATTGAAATACTCATTTTAATAAAATTTAACAAAATGTATTTAATTCTTTTAAATTTTATATTTTAAATTTTTAAAAAATTTTAATTAAACTGTTTATAATTAAAAAAGTACAACAATATATAACATTTGAACTATTCTTTTGCAATATATTAAAAAAAAAGATAATTCTCACTAAAACAAGTTGTTATTTGTAAAGATTTTTTAAATACTTTTAACGATAAGAAGTATAAATAGTTTTAACCTAAAGTTTTATATAAGGCCATTTGTTAAAGTCACATTTTAATAGCTATTATCTTGCCAGTGGCTGTTTCTACACAACATAAACATAAACAAAAGTGGGAGGATAAGGAGTCGAGGTCCAGGCCGCGAGAAGGCCACACAGCAACAACAAAGGCGGTGACCAAAAACCGGATATCAGAAAAACTGAAAGTTTTATGCAACACAGTTAAGGGGATCGCGATTCGATTGGTTATAAATGGGGTCTGGGGACTGGAATGGAGAATTTTCTTTCCCCCCTGTAAAAAAAAATGACTCACTTTTGGAGCGAATATTAAAATATAAGGTTTTACTTCCAGATCACATATACATACATAGAAACAACCACCAGTGGATAGAAATGTTGCGGCAGCATGTTGCAGAAAAGAGTAAAAGACGGCAAAAAAGGGGGAAATATACAAACCATATAAATATAGGTATACTATATGTGTGTACATATATGCGGCAGCATCGAGAGGGAAAAAGGAATTAAAGCCCTACAAAAACAAAAACAAGGGAACTTCGCTTGCGCTGTTCTCAGTTGCTTATTTTTCCTTTTTTTTTTCTCTATGTGTGCGGCGAAGTTGAGAGTTCGAGAGAGAGCGAGAAAGAGAGGGTAAAAACATAGAACGCACATAACAGAGCTGCCACAGAGGCGAAGTTGCGAGCTCTGTTGCGCGTACAGTAGGCAACAAAACATGCGGCGAGTTGGTGAGAACAGAAAACACAAGGCGGGCAACAACAAAAACAAAAACGAAGCAAAAGCAAAAGAAAAAAACATGGCAAGTACTTTTGCTTTTTGCTGCTTTTGCCTCTGGGCTTTATTACATTTTGCACAGCTCTTTTCGAAAATCATAGCATGATTTTGAGACCTTCGTTGCTTTACAGTTTTTGGGCGGCTGTTAAAAGTGGCGCTTCTGTTAGATAAGGAGCGACAGAGATGGGGAGAAGAAGAGCAAGATAGATAGAGGAGTTCAATGTCAAGGTGTCCTTGAAGCACAAAGCACTGACCTGACCCCAAAAAAGAGGGTGCGGGTTCATGGGCGACCCCAAACAGGTCGAGTTTTGTGTTTTTGTTATGCGGCGCCGCTGAAAAATCGATATACAAGAATATATACATACATACATACATATGTACATCTGTATACACATATCTGAATGATAGAGATGTATAAGACCGCCGCACGAGAGTGATAAGTTGCATAATTTAGCAGGATATCATAAATTGGTGCAGGCGCATGTTCGGGTGTCCTTTATCAGAGCGAAAAAAGAAGATGGCAATAGTTTGGGGGTTCCCCAAAAACTGAGTACCTTTATGTGCACAACCCCCTTTTCCCCTTGCCCGAAATCCCCCCAATCCCATGTGTCTGTGTCATGAGGAATTCAAAAGGGGCCAAAGAGGATGCTTGGGGATCTCTGTTTTGTCAGTTCAAAATTTCAAGTGCCATCCAAGGGCTTCCGCCCGTTTCCAGTTTCCATTTTTCCCATTATGCGATTGAAATACACATTAAAAAATGATTTGTTAATAATAAAAAAAAAACTAGGAAATTCTGAAGTGAAAAAAAATGTTTTTTTACATTTCCAAGGCCTTTATTCTTGGTGTCTTTGAATTAGGAAAAACCGTTTACACGTGAGCATTATAAGGTGCCCCTTACGGACTTCCCAAAATTAAAAAGTATTATTGTATTTTTGTAACTTTAAAGAATAAAAAAATAGACTAACTATAACTAATAATTATTCCTGAGATTTTCTAACTCGAAGTCTCATTCAGGCAAAACTCTTCTATTGATTACAATTAATTGAGTATTAATTTAATACTAAAATATTTTGTTTCACCTTTACTCTTGAACCAATTTTAAGAATTGGGGACTATGCGTTTGTGTCAAGTGAATCATTTTTCTCCGAGTGTTTGCTTTTCAAATCTTGCAATGGTTTTACACAATTGCAGCCACAATGCAGTCCCTCCATATGGCGCATCCTGGCCCAATCTCAATCGAATTACCTCGCGGCAGGTGTTGGCCCGATAAGCAGCGTTTGTGTTTGGACCCGCAATTGTTGCTCTTCGAAATTCGAATGCAGCCACCATGCAACATGCAACCCAACCTATAAAAGGGAAACTCGGAAGAGAGCAGTCAGTCGGGGAGTCAGGGAGCCAGAAGAATGAAAACAGAAGACTGGGACAGCTGGCAATCTTCAATCCTCAGCAGCTGGCGCTCTGCAGTTTCTCAACTTTTCAATCGATATGTATTGACTGGCGATAAGAGTCAATGGAAAAAAGTGTCCATGATTTTGTTTAATTGATATTTGGACAGGGGATGTAAGAACCCAGTATTGAGTGAACGCAGACTATGAAGACCTAGGATGATTGTTAGTAAAGAAAGAAGAAAAAAAACATCTGTAATAATGTTCAGCGAACCATTTAGTCCTGCCCTATTATGCATCTGCTTAATTTATGGCAAAACTTCCTACTTCCTATACACATACTTGTATGCATGTATCAGATATAGGCTATTTTATTTATCTCTTATTTTAAGCTTAAAAAAATATTAATTAAATCGAAATATAATTTACCAAGTATAAAAACCAAGCGTTTTATTACTGCTGAGAAAATTAATGAATGTTTTGTTTCTGAAAATTTATCAGTATTAAACCTTGCTCTAGTCCAAACAGCTCTCAACCCTTAGCCCAAAATCTACCCCAATCGCGAAATATGATTCACCAATTTCGTTCAGATTTTATGATGATTTATACGATCGTTATGGCAATTTCGGACACCCTTAACCCTTTGCCGATAATTAACCCCCATCCGTCTCCACCCCCGCAGCCATTAATTGAGCATTACAACCGAAATAGTACTCAGATGATATGATATTGCTCGGGCCCGAAGACCGCTCCATTATGGGAGTGATGGAATGATTGAGGCTTTCGCACGGGGCCCCTTTTTTCCATCCGTTTTTCGATGCTCAGCTCGATTTCCTTCACCCTACTTCACCCTCCTCCACCCCGCCAAAGTGAGTGTGTGTGTGTGTGTGTGTGTGTGCCTGTGTGATAACCTTTTGGTCTGCCCTCTGTTGAATTGCGAGTTTCCAGTCGAAATTGGATGAGAATGGGAAAGGGGAAGAGGAAGCAGGCTCAGGCAGCTGCAACTCGGGGGTTGATAAGTCTCTAGTTTTGTTCTGTTGCTTGTGGTACAGTAAATGATCGATTGAGTGGATTGCACAATAAAAAATCAAAGGGTTTTGCATTAGGGGAGGGAAATTATGTAAATTGAAAGATAAGTAGTTTCAAAAACGGATAAAAGTTCTTTTGAAATAAATTTATATTTCAAAAAATTAAATTTATGACAATTTCAAGCAACAATCGTAGGTTTAAACATATTACTCTTTTTTGGCAAATGCTTTAATGTTTTAAAAAAATAAATAATTTACTTTATCGGTAGTTTACTGTACCACCTTTGGCAGTAGTTTTGCATGCTTCTTCCTCCTGTAAGTTGCAATTCCAGAATCGTAAACTGTTTTGAATTGCATTTGCCAACGGAAAGTAAACTTCCTGGCTCTAATTAGTTTACTGCTCGGGCCTCCGGTGTCAAACAGTGGCAATTTTTCACTCCACTTTGGTGGGGGAGAAAAGCGAGAAAAGTGTGCGGGTGAAGGGTTAATAAATCCTTGATTTCAAGAGACCTAATAAATCAACCGGCTTTCCAATGCGGCGCTCAGGAAAGCCAGTAGAAGGTCTAGCAAAAATACATACGTCACTTTTCTGCCCTTCTCTACCCCCTGTATCGAAATTATTTTTTTCTTATTTTTTGCCCCCTTAAAAAATTGTCGAAAAAATGAGCCGAAATAAAAATGCATTGAACAGGCGAGCAAAGTTCACAGCAAGCTCTCTTTGGCCATCAGGGGGATTAAAAGAAAATGCAAAAGTTGTCAGTAAAACTTCGACAAGGCCTACAGCCCAAGCCGCCTGTCTCCTTTTAACCCCTGCTCCGAAAGTTGTTGCTGCTCAGTTGCAGCTGCCTGTTGGCCTTTTTAAGTTGTGCAACGAACCAAGGAGTCATCGAGGGTATTTTCGTCCTTTTCTCGGCAGGACTCGTCACTCGCAATTGTTCCATGTTATTCGTATTTCCTGCATCTGCTTCTTGTCTTTTGTTGCAATTCACATCTTTCTCCGCCTTTCACCTCGACATCGGAATCACTCTGCTGACACACAGCCAAGCAGCGAGGAGTTGGCAAATAAAGGAAGGACCAGACACACAGGAGGAATCCCTCACTCAGGTAGGCCGGTCCAGGTCTACTTTTCTTAGGGCCTTTCTCGAATGCAATCTTCCCTGAGGTCATGAGCGCCCATTTGTATATTACTTTATGGTGCAATAAAGGTAGCTGCCTGAATGCCCGGCCAAATCCCGACCAAAGGTATATCCTTATGTCGTAAATCGTTTTTAAATCTCTCGGTTAGCGGGAAGTAAGGCAATTTCCCTGGGTTATTTCATTCATTAGGTGCATGTGTTTTAAGAAATCAGAAATCAGCATTTGTCAAAAGTTATATTTAAACTGAGTATCCATTTTGATCTCTCTTTTTGTGAACGTTTTCTTCAAAAACGAATTCGTTTGGTTTCTTTGCTTAATTAGTTGGTTTTGGAAAGATTCTCGTAAATATGAAATGAATCTTCAATTTGTTCTCCTTGAATTTCATAATGAAATAGTAGTATTTTTAAATATAGTTCGTTTACCTAATCTTTTGGAAAGATGTCAACCATCATTTAAAAATTATATCATTTAAGAACCCTGTGGACATTTTATGGTTAATTTCTAAGAAATATAAATAATTTAGTTAAATACCATATTACGGGTTCTATCTTAATTCCGGCACATATTTCTTTAAATTTTCCCCAAGTAACGGTATCCTAACATCTGGGTATGAATGCATGGGAGGGGGTCCAAAAACTGTAAAAGTATGCGTGTTTGAGTGTCTGTGTGTTGGGGCCGTGAGAAAATCTATGCGGCATACAGATGGGCGCTCATATTCGGCAGCAGAACGAAAAACAGACAAGTGGCATTCCTCCCACAGTCCCTTCTTTCTCTCTCTTTCTTACTTTCTCTGCACTTTGGGGTAGGTACGTTAACACCCCCTGCAGCCCCCTGAAAAAAGACAAATGAAAAGCGCGTTGAACTTTGAAGTTTTTTCTTCGTTGATTTTTTGCTTTGATTTTTGATTTTTGTTTTATTTTTTTCTTTTTTTTTTTTTGCCATGTTGCTGCAACAAAGGTTGCCGAAACTAAGAGAAGGAAGAGAACAGTGCGAAAGAGATGAACATCGTGTGAGAAAAGCTTTTGACGTGAGAACTGTCGACTGTTGCTTTTTTGTTTTTCTTTTGTTTTGTTCCCATCCAAGATAAAACGTTGTATTTACTTGCTTTTCTTTGTTCCCCTCCGCACACATACACTTGCAATTCGCAAGTGTGGAGTTTTGCATGATGCATTTAACAGGCGCACATGTTTTTCAAGTTTTCAGTGAATTCATCTCGAATTAAGCCAACTTTGCTGGAGGTCAGTTCCTTTATGGGTTCAACTCTAGGCTCAATGCTATACTTCAGTTTCTGACCCAAAATCATTTGCCACTTTGTTGCCGGCTAAAACAGTATAAAAACCAAGAAATTCGAGGTGAACGCTTGGCCTTCAAAAAGTTTAAAACGCAAAAGCTGAAGAAGAGGCCCCCAGACGAAAAACTCGGCGAACCAGCGGAGAAACACACTACTAAAGTACTCAGGGTCACAGGAACGGCCAAGAAAATAGCATCACGATACCGTAAGCCATTCATTTTGAGCCTCTCCCCATAATACAGTTTTATTTTTTTTTAATTTTTCAATAGAAATTCTCAACTCTACTGCGAACAAGAGCAAACTGTTTAAAATAATATTTATCAATAATTGTAAGTTTAAAAATATAAACTAGCGTAAAGTCAAAGAAAGCAATTTGGTATTGCAATAAATTATTTACTTTGTTTTGTAAAGCCAAGTTTTGATGTTTTTTTTTTTAAAGTTTTTTGAGCAATAAATATGGTGTGATATAGTCAAATTTTACTCTACTACTGAATTGACCAAAATAGCCAGACATTTTTCCTTAAGGGTAATAAAAGACAAATTTAATATTTTTTCTCTATCAACATAGCCAGTTATGAATAATATTAGGTTATAGCTCTGCTATTGTTTTAGCCACCGCTGTGTGTGACAAAAAATAAATAAGCCACATAATTGCGCATGACTACAACAAAAGAAAGTCTTGTGCCGGTTGAACTCAGTAAAGTAATTTAAGTAGTAGTTAAAATAATAATAGAAGTAGAATAATAACATACTGGCAGTCTCTCCAAAAAAGACTCGGGTTTAGTACAAGCAACAGACACTTAACAGAGGTGAATTGTTTAGCTAGCCAAGTTAGTAACCTTCAATAATGTAAAGACGAGGAAATACAATCTCCGAAGAACTACTAGTCCATTATTTATTATCGGCGCGGGCTGTTCCGGTTGTAATTAATCACCCGTTCATTGAGCGAAAAGGCAAAAAGGCAATATTCAAAGCTTAACGATCAAAAGTAAACACACAGAAACGCACACACTAGCGTAAATAAACGGGGGCGAATTCGAAATTCAAAATTGCACGTTAAACGCGGCGAGGGCGAATTGGCAAGTCAACAACAAAGCTTTGGAGCGAGCGAGGTGGGGAATAAATGGCAGCAGGGGCGAGCGAGATGGCGAGTGGAACCAAAGTTTCGCCGCCAAACTGTTCTTCGTAGTGGTGGGTTTTTTCAGGTGGGAATGGGAACGGTTGGGGTTGTGGGGAGTGGAGACTGAACGTTAAATTCAAAAATCCGCCGATAAACTTGCGCCTGTCTGTGTGAGCACATGTGTATGGGTGTGTATTATTGTGGCCGGCCGGCAAATAGTACGCAAAAAATTATTTAGCTGTTTGCTTTCTATTCCCTTACCGCATATTTGCTGAAAAATCCATCGTGTATGCCGCTCGAATAATCCTCCAGTTCGAACATGTTGATATTTTTTGTTTTTAGCATGCACTTTGTTTTGATCGATTCCACTTTGCGCTATGTCCCTGCTTCTCCCAGGAACCGTTTTACCGCGAAACAAAGCAAGACAAGATAAAAAAAACACCGTTGTTTTTTTTTTGGAATCGGTGATCTAACTTCTTTCCGAATTATATTTCCCGCAGAAGGACCCACCGCACATGGCGCTCAAATTATCGCAGTTATCAGGCGCGCACAATTAAATAATACCGGTGTTTCGAGGAGCAGCTATAACTTCCAACCCTCCGCGGTCAAAATTCGAAGGAAAAATGAGAGCATAAGAGACCGCATAAAGAAAAGAATGAGAGACGAAAGAGTGTGGCCAAATTTGGGTTTGGGTGAAAATACCCTTAAATACATTTGTTGCTACGCACTTGAATACATAAGTAGCGAAGACTTGCCCCAATTTGAGCAACGGAACAGTTTGAGCGAAGTTTCAAGCCAAGCTCCTTACCTTTTGAATTTCAACCGTTAGACTTAAAATATTGTACGAAACTCGTTGGAAAAATCGTTAAATGTTTAAGATAAATTTACCATAAGGAATTGATTTGAATATTTTGTGCAGATCATGTTGATAAGTGGTTAATGGTGTCCTTCAGAATTTCACACACAACGCAAGTTTTTTCATAGGTGGTTTTTAATTTAATTACCTAAAAAAAATTCATTTTTTGAAAAATAACTTCTAACAAATAGAAAATTTTCAGCGGATAATATTAGTTTTTATATCTAGATTCTACGCCTGCCACCGCCTTGAGTGGCCGATGTCTGTTGCTTGATGTGTGACCTGATCTTGACAAGCTTAATGAAGGGTACTTTTGGAGGCGACTCGTCGGATATTGTTAGAAAACCCTTGCTCGTCCTGGCTCGATAAACCGGTTTGTCCTTGTTGTCCTCATTGGATGCATTTTGGGGCTTTGGCTTCTTAGACCGCTTCTTCCTTTTGACCCTCTTCTTTTTCGGTAGCTTAGACGATATGGGAGATGGATGGGTTAGCTATTTTCAAATTTATAAACCTTAAGCACTTGTTAGGTAATAGCAAGAATATCCTCTTAACTTTCCAGGATGCACATCCAATTTTGGCATGCATGAACCCTTCCGTTTTCTTTGTAACTTACTTTTTTGTTGATGACTGTTGGTTGCGACAATGGAGCTGACTTTTTTCGCTTCTTCCGAATCTTACGTGTGGAAGTTTGCTAAACCAAAAGATAATGGCTTAAGCATTGGATTGGTTGTCATCCACATTACCTTTTTCTCGATTCCTGCTTGTGCCTCCAAAAGTTTCACAGCTTCACCAACGGACTGTCGGGCGGTGTGGAAGTCTCTAACATTTTTCTTAGCAACAGGCGATTTGGATGGCGTGATCTGCTTATTTTCCGAAACAGTATGCTAAAAAATGATTGCAGTTTAAAATGCTAGGAGTACAGTTTGTAGTAAATCGATTTTTAGTTATGTAAGCATTCCAGTAATACTAAAATAAATAAGAGAAAGTCACCACTTGGTTATCCATCAACTTGGCTGCACTGCGGTTTATCACCATATTTGGTTTTATGACATCATGCAAAGGAAAATTTGATTTCGATGGACGCGATTTGCCGACTGCCAAAAAAAGAAGGGACCTGGACGGATATGTGTTTTAAAAGTTTAGTTTACTTTGGAGCACAAGCCTACTTTTTGCCGACTTACTATAAGTCTATTCAATACAATATTTTAGCTTTAAAGCAAACGAAAGTGTCATATTTTCTAAGATCACTTTAAGTTAGGGAGTCAAATATGTTTAACAAATAAACATGTTTTTCGAAAACAGATTATATTATAATAGATGATATATTTGTTTAGTTTAGTACACGAAGAGCTAAATAAGCTAAAGATTCAAAAACTGTTTACAATTGTTTTTTTTTTTTACTTTTAAACCTTAAGTCAATTTAAAGGATTTACTTTGCAGTATTTTAAACTAATCGTGATAGTTTTAGCAGCAAAAAAGTGCGAATGGAAATCCTCTTCTCTCCAAGTCTTTCCTTGAATTATTAAATTCGAAATTTGTTTTTTTAATTACAGTTTATTTTGTGTTTCATGCATTCTCACAGATTTTAAATTAAACAAATTTTAATCTCAAAAAGTCTATATTATTATGTTTGACGTTTTTAAACATGGAAACCAATAGATGTTTTATGCAATTTACACGGTAATAATATATGTATTTAAAAAAAAATGTTTGCGCTATATGGAAATGATTGGAAATACGGCCTGGTAACAGCGGCTGCGTATTTATTATTGTTTAATAAGTCCGACAACGATTTTTTTAAGATTCAACAATTATTAATTTATTTCTGTTATAAATGATAAATGTGAATTAGTGATGTGCACTGGAATAAAAGTTTCATTTATGACAAGGGGTGGAAAATCTCATAACAAATATTTAGAAGAACAAATAATAGAGTAATCAAATTCAATTTGAGAAAAGATAAAGTAAAGAAACAAAAATGAAATTATGCATTGCGTACACTTGACATTTCCCACCGTTAATACTAGTTTTCCTTTAAGTGTAAATATCCTAAGACTTTCGGGCAAAGATCTGCTCCTTGAAGCGCAGCGCCGACTGTTTGGCGGGATTGTGTTTGCCAGCGTCTTCGGCCTTTAATGCCTGATGTTTGGATCGCTTCTTTGCTATGCCCGATGGTCCTGGTTCCTCGCGGAACCCATGCATTTTTGGTGTGGCTGGCAGCTCGCGGAAATATTTCTGCTTGGGAGTGCACGGCTCAACGCGCACCATACCCGAACTGGTCTTAATTAGCTCTATTTTGGGAATTTTCTGCAGCGGCTCATTGACCACCGTTACATAGCCAGCATTCGTCCGAATACGATTCACTCGATGGCCGTGGTTCTCCTCATCAGAACTTTTTATGGGCGATTTTTCCTGCGGCTTTTTCTTCTTCTCTTGCTTCTTTTGCTTGGCCTTCTTATTGTCCATCAACGGCGGCTGTGGCGACAATTTACGCGAGAGAGTGCGAGGCTATGTAGAATTAAAAGTTAAGATTAAGAAGTCTAGTCTGGTACGAGGGACTACAGGATAAACTTACCTCTCCGTCTATGGCTTTTGGAGGCGCAAGCAGATTAACAGCATGACTCACAGCCTGCCGTGCGGCCTGAAGTCGTTTTATATCCTTTTTGAGCGATGGTAGCTGCTTGGACGGTTTCGCAATCGGTGCTTCTGTGTCAGAGCTATTGGTGGCTAAGGGTTTGGGAGCCGCTTGCGAACCCAGTCGCTTTGGTTTCTTTTGCTTCACTCCCATGGCAAGGTGCTAAAGGAATGTACAAGTTTTACCATTAACCATAACCATAATGTTTAAAGGACCATACCTGTTTTTTCTCCTTTAACTTAGCCTCGTTGGCTGCCTCGAGGAGGTTGCGACAGTATGACAAGTAATACTCGGCATCCTTTTCCATTTTGGGTGGCCCCTTCTCCGTAGGCTTAGTAGTTTTAACTGACTTTGGACAATCCTCGGGTGGATGCGGCGCTTGAGAAGGTTTTGGTTCCTCCAGAGAAGACTCCTCTGGGACGACTGCTGTTTCGGTAGTTTGGTCAGGAACATCTTCTTTTTCGGGAGATCCCTGTACAGTTGCCTTTGAATGTGAAGTTTTAGTAGCGTCTTTATTGGGAACATCTCCTTCCGAGCTCTCCCCCTCAGTTGCATCATCCTCGGCGGCAACCTCCGCCTCGGGATCAGCCTCCAAGGACTCGGTGGAATCACCATGTGAACTTTTTAAGCGCTTGCGTTCGTGCTGGATCTCCATTTCCTCCAGATCGGCAGCGCCCGATAAGCTCTTCGACAGGCGTTTGCGCTTATTCTTCTGCCTTTTTTTCTCGGCTACCATTTCAACAAAGGATTGCGAGGGGCAAAAGTCACTGCCAACATGGGCACGATCACTACGGCGTCTCAGTTTCGGCTCCTTGGTTGCCAACTCGGGACTAGCCACGTACAACGACTGACGACGGGATTTCTGGAGCGGGTTGAACATGGTTTCCAAGTGGCGCAGATCACTAGAGGCCAGCTCGGCTAGCAGAGCTTCTTCATCCGCAGATTTCAAGGGCTTTTGGAATGTGGATTTGGCAGGAGTAGATTTCTCCTTTTTAGCTTCCTCATCTGCATGCGACTCCTCTTTTTTATCAGCTTCCTCGAGTTCCACCACTTCATCCGAATCCACGATCTCATAGACACTTTTATTGCTCTTGGCGTTAGCCTTCTGCGCCTCTGCCTCCACCTCTTCCTCGTGGTCCGAGGAATCCACCTCCATGACGCTGAAGTCCAGACGAGTTTCGGTCTTGTTGAATCTCTCGGACTTGTTCAATTCGTTAAGAGCGACTTGGCGGGATCTTTCCAGCTCAGCTTCCGAAATCGAGGACTTCTCCGCGCTGGCATTCATCAGTTGGGCAGCCTCGCTCAGTTTGCTGGCGTTGGAGGAGCAGTTGCTCTGGTTCTTGGGCATCTCCGATTTGCTCTTGTTTATCTCCTTGTTCTGATCTTGGTGCTCCTCTTCGTCGCTGGAACTTGCTACGGCAATGCGGCGACGCTTCTTCTCGTTTTTTTCAGGAAGAACACCTTCGTCTTCCTCCTCCTCATCGGAGGAGTAGCAAAGTTGGCCCACTTCCTCTTCGACCTCGTTGTCCGAGACAATAAAGGAGTCATCGCCTTCAGATTCTTCTGGCGTAGATTCCTCAGTGTCCTTACTTCCAACGGACTCGCCACCACTTGGAATTTCATTTTCCTCCATCTCCCGTCGCATCGAACTATCCATCGAGTCGCCAGACATGTAATCTTCGCCAGCTACTTCAGCCTCGAGGTCCACAAATTCGCACATGGGTTCATCTTCTTCGTGTTCTTCCTCGTCATCTCTTTCATCCACTTCGTCGGAGCTTTCGAGGCGAGAAAGTATTTTGTTCTCAGCCTTAAGAGGCGACATGTCGGCCTGCGGGACTATCTCATCCTGTGCATTCTTAGAATCCAGCTTATCGAAAGCCTTGATGGCATCAATTTGGGCAGGTGCTGGCTGCATTTCCACCTTGCTGATGGATAACTCGAGCTGTTGATCCTTTAATATGGGCGTGGAACTATTCCGCCCCTTTTGCAGGGCTAATTTTATGGGGGTCTCCGCCTTTGGTGTGAAAGTGCGGCCAACTGGCACCTTCTCGCGACCGGGAGTCTTTGGAAAACGTGTCTTTTCGACCTCCAAGTCATCACTACCGTTGTTGAAGCCCACCGATTTCTTTTGCTCCTGTGGAGGGGCACCATCTAGATGAGATTTAGTGCCAGGCGTTAGACTCGGTAGCTCAATAATCTCGGTTATCTTGGCTTTAAACATATTTTCTTCTTCCATGGTTTTATCTCGGGAAGTTTCTCCGTTTGCTTCTGGCTCTTCCTCAGCACTCGGGGCTTGTGGAGAAAATACGGGCTCATCAGTGTCTAGATTTATAATCTCAGCTAGATCTTTTTCCAGCATTCGTTCATCGTGCTGCGGCTCAGCCTCGAAAATCGAATCTTCTGCATCCAAGAACTCTTGCTCCTCCATTGATTCATCTTTTTCTATAGTTTTTGGCATCTCGACAGGTTGAGCGTCAACAGGAGGAACCTTCTGGGAAGGTTCTGCTTCAACTGTTTGAATCTTCTGTGGAGTTTCGATTTTTTTTTCAACTTTAGAAGCTGCCTTAACTGTTGGAGTCTTCTGCGGAGTTTCAACTTTCTTTTCTACTGCCTCAGCATGTGGAATCTTCTGCGGAGTTTCGTTTTTCTTTTCAATTTGGGGATCTCCAACTGATGGCACTTTTAGCGGAGTTTTGATTTTCTTGTCAATTTGAGGGTCCTCCTGTTTGTCTTCAGTTCTTAAAGATGTGCTTGAAGCCTTAACTTGTGCAAGTGAGTTGAATGTCTTTAAGAACGGGAGTTTACCGATATCCTTGGCAGGCTCCGCGGAATCTTGACTAAGTTCGGTTTTGTTGGACGCCCCAGAAGAGGGCTGCGCTTCAGGTTTCTTTGCTTCCTCAGCTGATTCCTGGGAGGATGTCTTCTCCTTCGCTTCGTCCGGTAGAATCAATTGTTTAGCCGCCTCCACCGTTTTGCCGGTGGCTTTGCCCAACGACATTTTCTCCAGTCTGACGGCCACCTTGGAGGTATTTTTATTTACGATCTTCTCCTTTGCTGGTTCCACGGTCTGTGTCTTTCGCTCGGCCTCCGGAGAGGAGTTCAGATTACGCGGTGCGTGGATGGGCGAACGTGCCGCAATTGGAGGCGTTTGCGACATGGAGCGCGTCACCCGTTTCTCGTCACTCTGTGTGGGCGTGGCTGTGCGCCTGGCCTCCTTGGGCACGGGGCTGGCACTTGGCTTCCGCTCCTGCCTGGCGCCGACCTTGCTGGGCACTGGACTAGGACTGTTGATGGGCTTCTCCTGCTTAATCTCCACCTCTTCGGGCTCCTCCGTGAGCGTGAGCTGTTGGCGAACGGATCTGGTGTTTTTGGCCGGCGTGCGAGCGGTCCTCTTCACGGAAGAGGGCGTGGTCGGCTCGGGAGTCTCGCCGCGTGCCAGGGAGGCGCGTCTGGTGCGCGTCGGAGTCCTCACATCCACAGTGGACGAGTTCAAGCGAGTGCGGCGTGTGGCACGTGGCGAGGCGGTTCCTTGTTAAGTTTGGGAAATCGACGTCTTAAAGGGACAATCTTAGGATATGAAGAAACCGTAACTTACCTCGTTCCGCCGCGGTTTCCAACAACTGAGGAGTACTCGGACGACTGTCCGTATCCAGCACGGACAGGCGGCGAGTGCGTGCCCGCGTCACTATCATTTGTGATGAAATAGGAAAATCACAAAGGGTTGGTTATATTATTTACTAAATCTTAGTGGGGTAATGAAGGAAAACCAGGCAATTTGTGAAAGGGGCTCTTAAAAATGGCCGTCTTTGGAGCACCGTCTTGGTTATCCCGTTGCATTTTTTTCGCAAAACCAACTCACCGCGTTTTCCATCGTCATTCTCCATATTATCATCCATTTGGCCCGGCTCTGTTGTTTTCCGTACACGACAATCACTATAAATCAAAAGAGAGTCTTCAACCCGCAGGCAAATTATTACAAAGAAAACGAAACGAAGACGCCAAGACGCCGAGCCAAAAAATGAAATCAATTGACATGTGCCGCTTTGTAGCGTTATCCAACACTTCAGCCGGCTGTTGCGCATTTGTGCGGCGGCCGTTAAAATTCAAATTGGTTTACGTTTGGCTTTGAACTTGTTTTGTTGATAGTATATTCAACGCTACTATTGATAATTGCTCTGTTTTAAAGCTGATTTATTTGCTAGCTAGTTATTTTCATAGTAAAAACAAGCAACACTTTCTTCTATTTAGTTGCTGTGCAGCACTGGTTTTTTTTAGCTGGCGAGCCATCCGTTATCTTCAAACCGGATTTATCGCTACATCTAAATTTAAATAATGACAACAGCTATTGTTCAACTATTTCCGCCTGGGGATACAGATGTTGTAAAGGACAGTGATTGATTTGATTTTAAGGCCACATGCGTTGATGGCTAAATTTTTGCCGGTGGCTTAGCATAAGAACACATAAGCTTACTCTTAATTAATTAATTCAAAAAGAATGATAACAAATATAGTTTTTGTTATCTTATCTACTCACCTTCCATAGCCAGATTTAATTGCGATTGGCTGAAATTGATTTTGGTCCTGAAAGCCTGATCCCAAGTTATTATTTAATTGAACGACATTTTACAATTCTCCTTGTGAAAACAACAATAAACTATTTTTTGTCAAAAATATTTTGTTCTTGTTTATTCATAAATTTTGTTTTCCAATTTACAACTGCTATGAATAAAATTTAATTTAAAGTAAATTATTTTATTTACAGTTATCAATGTTTTTATCTTACCGTAAAAGTGGCCTTTCTCATATTTAATTTCGAGTTTGAGTTCGAACCTTTTGCATTAGTATTGCTATAAACAGATAAATTCTTAGAACTAAACCATATTTTGCTTAGCTAACTCCGGATTAAACTGGCTATTGTACTTCTGGACTATCCTGGGCGTGGGAGCAGGTGTGGATGCTGCACTGGCGGCCACCGCCGGATCTTTGGGCGCGAAAAGCGCCTCGGAACGCTGGCGTTCCGCTGTCTCGCGTCGCAAGCGCTCCTTTCTCAGTCTCTCCAGCTTCTCGCGCTTCTGGCGTTCGGCGGTCAGAAGGGTTTCCTTGGCTTCCTTTTTGCCCTTGCCACCCTTGTGCTTCTTATGCTTGCCATGCTTCTTGTCTTTCTTGTGTTTTTTTGACTTCTGGGGTGGTGAAGGTTCTGGCGTAGGAGTGGGTGTCCCTTCACGTTTTCTCTTAGTGGCCCGCTTGGGATCCTTCTTTTCCGGTGGCAGCAGGGCATTGATTAGGGTCAGAGGATCGTGGGCCAGCTTCTGCTTGAGATGAGCCTCTGTAGCAGCGGGATCACCCACTTCTGGCCGTTTGGGAGCCACCTCGTACCAGCTGCGCACTTTGAGCGCTTCATTGGTGTCCTGGCCCAAGTAGGTGAGGTATCCAATCTGCTTCTCGTATTTCTCCTGCTCCTCCTTCTGCTCCTTTTCCAGGTCTTTGTTGGTGGTCTTCACATGGCTCTTGTAGTCGGCAAAGAGATCTATTCCTTTGGTGGGTTCAGAGCTGGAATCCGGCACCTCTTGGGTTTCCTTGGCAGAGGTCACCTTCTCCGGAAGGCCCGACTGTCGGCGCAGGAAATTAATGCGGGCCTCGCTCTCCTACATAAAATAAGTACTGATTAATGGATAAATTTCTGGAGATATGTATACAAGAAAACCCACGGCAAATTCCAATTTTTCCTGACGGACTTTCTCCTCCGCTGCTGCAGCCGCTTGATCCCGGCGGACACGGGCAATATTTTCCTTGGTGCGCACATGCCAACTAAAGAATCCAAGCGTTTAAATGGGATTTTGTTATTTAACAATATTAACTCACCGTTTCTTGGGTAAAATATTCATTTTTTTGATAAAAACAACAAAAACATTCGATTGGCCCGATAGGTACAATCGATGGCACAGAAATATCGATTGGCTAAAGCAAAGTTGCCCCACTACGAGTAGGCCAAATTGTTATTTCCAACTTTTAACTATATTTTTATAATTGTTTTGCTACGTCAAAGCCACTTCCCCGCACACACGCGTTTGAATCGCGTGCCCAACGGGCCACTCGATTAATTTGACATTCGCAGGGGAGCGGTGACAATCGAATGGCTAACACATCTGTCAGAAGACAGAAGAAGAAGAAGGGGCAAAAATAAGAAGCAGATCGCTCTGTTCCGATTAAAAATAAGCTATAACTATTGCAAAAAACCCAAGTATACGGAACCAGGACAACACGACCGCTGTGGCGCACTCCGGAATGGCCACGGAGCAGCATCACCAGCAGCGCGTCCTCAAGCAGGATGGCTACTTGGATCTGGGCGATTGTAACAGCACTCCAGCCCGACCCTTTGAGATGCGCAACGTCGTCTATCATCCGCAATTAAATGTCCTCCTGCTATTTAACAACGGAAGCACCGTCAAGGTCCTGGACGCCAACTCCGGAGTGATCTTGCAGACCTATCAGCTCAGCTCCAACGGTGAGATTTCGGGGAAAAAATAACCACACACATATACACACGGACTGGGGGAACTCACTCACACTGGCACACGCAAATGTCAATACAGTGGAGAATTGCGAATTAGAACCCATACAGCAATGTGTCAATAAATATTCTTTCATGTTTATCGAAGATCAGAATAGCAGAATAGGCTGAATCATATCAGTGATATAAAGACTTAGACGCAGTATGTACCTGTAATTAGAAAATTACATATTTAGCCGGGAACATATCATTTATTTTTTTTTTTAATATGGTCGATTATGATACACTGGTAAACTATTCCAGAAAGCATACACAAAGTATTTGAAAGATTGGCTATTTGGAGATGTGGTTTTCTTCAAATCTGAATATCTTTATAGAATAATTAATGGAATAAAAATGTATTCCAAATTGATAAAAACTAATTTGTTTTGACATCCACATATATAAAAAAATATATATATATATATGTCAAGGAACCTAATACAAGCCCCACTTCTAATAATTATTAGTTTAATCAAAAGAAAATAAGCCTGTAAGAAAAAATGAAGTTCGTCATTGCCATTCTCCACTGTATTGCATTTTTGTATGTAATTGCCTTGCACTTGTCCACTCGTTTGGATGTTTGTATGTGTGGCTGTGTGCGCCTGCAGTTTTTTGTGTATGCGTTTGGCATCAATTTTTAACAAAGCTCTGGGTAATCCTTAAACGGAGAGTGATAATCCAATCCAATCTTAGTGATTCCCCCGGGAATTTAAATCTTATAGACGGTCCTATCGCAACGCATTTGTTGTTATTTTCGATTAGCCGCCAGCAGCACGCATGTTGTTTTTGTTTTGCCTCTATTACGCAGTTCTGTTTGATGACCCCCTTCGCCCCCGCTGCCCCTTGAACTTGTTCTGCGGAAACTATTTTCGGGAATGTTCCGGTCTTCAATTAAACGGATATGGGTTTCCTTATCAATTGGCACTATCACAGTCAAATATCATACATGTTTTATTGCCTAATGGAATATCAAAATGATTTTCCATCCTTTAACAGGCTTGTACTTTCAAAAATTATATTTCAAACTTTTTTGACTTTAGTTTAAAATTGTCTTTCTCCTTTATTTAACATCACTTTAAGTGTAAATACATAATCCAAAATATGAATTATTATTATGACTTTTTAAATGAGGGTTTGTTTGTATTGTTATATAAAGTAATAAATGTCTTGAAACACAGGAATCTTTCTAAAGAGGAAAGCAATTAGAAAACAGTCTGATGAAATCAACAGAATGAGTCACATTCCCTTTCTAATGATTGGTCTGGCTTTTCTCTCTCAGGCGACAGCATCGTTCATGGTCGTTATATGCCACTGCAAGACAAGATCTTGTTCTGGGATGGTCATAACCTTGGATTGCGAGGCGATTACAACGGCGTCTTGCTGCTGGACACCATTCTCCAAGCGCCAATTGGACAAAATGACGACTACATCAAGCTGGAGATCATCCTGTCCGAGGCTATCATCTTCCAGAACTGCATCAGCGAATTGGAGAGCGAGGGTCTGGAGTGCCCCTGTGACATCAGCAACGAGCTGACGCAGAAGATCAACCAGGCGCAGCTGAATGCGAAGAAGGGCATTAAGGCCCAGCGGGTGAGCATTTCCTTATACATCACCTTTTAAATTTGCAAATAAAACAAACAATTTTTTCCGTTTCAGTGGAATACCATATGCCTGGAGGTGCCCTATTCCAGCCTTAAGCTCGTGTCCAACAATGTGGTCATTCTGCTGAAGCGCCTGGAGCGCCACATTCCCGTGCTGGCCATCGCATCCGCCATCAATGAGCGCCTCACCGACATGCTTATGGGCTCCCGTGTGCCGGATTTTGGCTGGAACTTTAGCAATTTCCAACGCGTACTCATGCACTCGGAGGCAGTGCGTCGCCAGACGTTCGAGAAGTGGCCCCACATGGACTACAAGTGGGCGCTGCCCGATCAGATGGCCCAGGCCGGCTTCTACCATCAGCCATCTTCCTCTGGCGAGGATCGCGCCATGTGCTTCACCTGCAACGTATGTCTGGTCTGCTGGGAGAAGACCGACGAGCCGTGGAGCGAGCACGAGAGGCACTCACCGCTGTGTCCCTTTGTCAAGGGCGAGTACACCCAAAATGTCCCGCTGTCCATTACCTACGCCACCAATCCCGCATTGCCAGCTCCCGGACTGGGATTCGACATCATCTCCAATAGTGATTACGCGAATGTGCTCTGCACCAGTTGCTCTCAAACGGGGGAGCTCAGTGTCTGGAGCATTGAACGCCATCTCAAGCTGATGCACAGCATCCATGTACCGACCCTGCTCAAGGACGTTTTCGAGGAGAGCTTCGAGTGGGCGAGGGTTACTGCCATCTGCGTTCTTCCAAATGCACGAGCTCGCACCAAGGTGAACTACGTGTACTCTTCGGCGAATTATGGCGGTGCAGGCGGCAGCGGTGGAGCGGGTTCCCATTCGGGATCAAATGCCGTCTCCAGTGGAAAGTTTGGCAGCGTGAATGCCCAGCATATTACCTCCACGTCCACACTTAGGGCCGGCG